CTGCATGTCTGTCTGTCCATCCTACAGCCATCCATCCCCTAGCCGCTTATCCTGGTCAGGAGAAGTGCTGCATGTCTGTCTGTCCATCCTACAGCCATCCATCCCCTAGCCGCTTATCCTGGTCAGGAGAAGTGCTGCATGTCTGTCTGTCCATCCTACAGCCATCCATCCCCTAGCCGCTTATCCTGGTCAGGAGAAGTGCTGCATGTCTGTCTGTCCGTCCTACAGCCATCCATCCCCTAGCCGCTTATCCTGGTCAGGAAAAGTGCTGCATGTCTGTCTGTCCTACAGCTGTCCATGGATGTGCTATTGGATGAACAGGGCACGAGTGGTAACCAGGTTACTGAACGAATGGATCGCTCAGGGCACGAGTGATAACCAGGTTACTGGATGAATGGGTCGCTCAGGGCACGAGTGGAAACCAGGTTTCTGGATGAATGGATCGCTCAGGGCGTGAGTCATAACCAGGTTACTGGATGAATGGATCGCTCAGGGCGCGAGTGATAACCAGGTCACTGGATGAATGGATCGCCCAGGGCGCGAGTGAAAACCAGGTGTCTGGATGAATGGATCGCTCAGGGCGCGAGTGATAACCAGGTTACTGGATGAATGGGTCGCTCAGGGCACGAGTGGTAACCAGGTTTCTGGATGAATGGATCGCTCAGGGCGTGAGTCATAACCAGGTTACTGGATGAATGGGTCGCTCAGGGCACGAGTGGTAACCAGGTTACTGGATGAATGGGTCGCTCAAGGCGCGAGTGATAACCAGGTTACTGGATGAATGGGTCGCTCAAGGCGCGAGTGATAACCAGGTTACTGGATGAATGGGTCACTCAGGGCACGAGTGATAACCAGGTTACTGGATGAATGGGTCGCTCAGGACGCGAGTGGTAACCAGTTTTCTAGATGAACAGGTCGCTCAGCCCAGAGATCCCAGAGTGGTGATATCATTTTCCAGAAAACCTCAAATGAAATAATGGTATCATGTTCCTCTAGCACGGCTTACAGTGCCCGTGGAGATCCAGGCTGAGAGTCTGTAGAGCTGTTCTGGTGGCTTGTAAAAGAGGCCCAGAATCCCATGGTGATGTTTCTCAGTGTTGAGGACATGGCATCTGCTTCGGCTGACCGTGAAGGTTACTCTGAGCTGTCTGCTTACATGATACCCCTTTGTCTAACAGGTGAAAGCCATCAACCGCAAGAGGAAAAAAGCCAGCATAATCTTCATCGACCCATTACTGTTTGAGACCCAGAGGGGGTGAGTGCCTGGCTCTCGTCGCTGTGGCTGTTCACCACAAACAAAATGCCCATGTTGAAGTTGTGTGGCCTAAATGAGGCCTGGCAGGTTTTCCGTCGTTGCCGTCTTTTGTTCTCTAATAAATTTTTAGGGCTAAATATGGAATTTTAGTGCATTGTAAGAAGTTACGGCTTTTTTCTCATTTCTTCTCTTTAGCTTAAGTGTAGGCATGCGAAGTATTAAGCCTTTTGACTGTGAACTGAAAGATCAGTTGGAGGTGAGCGGTGTTTTTTGTCTTTGTTTTGTTGGAGTCAGTAATGTTAAATGTATAACACCAGTTTTTAAGTATGACTGTGAGTACACTTACACTTATTTAAACTAAGCTTGGGCAGTAATGTGGTAAAGCACAGTATTTTGGATATACCGCAGTATTTTGGGTATACCTCGGTATTTTTGTTCGGCAGATTCATTGTGGGGAACCCACCTGCTTGGCAAAATTACCGTATATCACGATATAATGTGTGGACTGTACAACGGTATGAAATGATCCCACCCAAGCCTAATTTAAACTTGCAAAATCTGTAACCAGCTCAATATTAAATGTGTATGGTTAAATATTGTACAGTTTTAAAAGAGAATTTGTTGTTACGTACTTAGTATGTGTAAATCTGTTCAAAGTGCTTCTTAAATCACCTTCATAGGCTGAAGCCAAAGCAGAATACAGAGCCGTTATCAGCTGGTGTTTGGAGCTGATTCAGGACTATCGATTTCGCATAGGTAGGTGCGAATGAAGCCGCCTTTCTGCCCATTTTTGTTAGTGACTGTTGTAAGGGTGCAGCTGACTGCTTGACTTGTTTTTGGTTGTGGTTTTTTTTCTTTATATTCATGTATTGCTGACTTTCAGTTTCGGTTTTTGCTGCCCGGTGTAAATCTTCTGCACTCCCTTTGCAGCTTGTGGCTCATTTTCAGGTTCTTTCATGGAGTACTTTGCAGATGACATCAGTAAGTGGCAGAATTCTTGTTTTATATACCATACTGTTTTATTTACTCATAAGATCATCATTTGGGTAAAAGCCAATAATGAACCCAGGTGAGAGAGAAACCTCATCCAGTGCAACCCAACTTGCGCCTCTGACGTTTCTCCCATGGCATTCACCAGGCTGCCCCGTTAGGAGGATGTACGCACAGGGGGCCTCTGACGTGGCTTTCCCGAGCAAGCAGATCATGGAAGAACAAGGCGATCTGGTGGACAACGAGAGTGAGGACGGCACCCTGGATCTCCAAAGTGATCACCTCTTCAAGAAACTCCTGCCTGACCGCTCCAAGGCAGCACGCAACCTAGCCAATGAGAAGCTGGTGCAGTTCATCGTGGAAAAGCGTGCTGTGGAGAAACACCTTCAGGTTGGTCAGATGGTGCAGAGCAGGGAAGGGCTGCTTTTGGAGGAAATGCATCTACTGATGGTAACACATGGTCCCTCTTAGGCCATCATAAGTGGTCAGGCAACATCAAAGTGGCTGATGGCCTTGCTGAAAACGAGCAGAACCGTGGACCTATACAAGACCTACTTGGAGGATGAGGACCAGGTTGACCAGGTCTACAGATACCTGCAAGATGTGTACAAAAATGCATCCCAGACTGCTCCCTGTCTTGCGAAGGTGGACGGTGTGCGGTTGATCCTAGATGTCCTCTTCCCAGAGGTTAGCATGAGAATGATAGGTGCTCCTTAGGATGTAGCAGAACCTGCAGCTGCTTCATGGTATCTGGTTATTGTACTGGAACCTTCTTCTGGCGAGGTGTCCACAGTTTTGGTGGTGATTGGTCACTAGGGGATGTCTGTGTGTGTGTGAAGCTGGCATGTTTGTGTGAGTTTTGCACAGTCCAGCGGGTGGACTGGCACCTCTAAGGCGGCCTGAGCATTCGGCATCCTGACAGTGGAGTACTCTGCCTTATATTCTGTGCCTTCTGGGATTGTCTCCAGGCATTAGATACGTGGCTGCAGACGATGGATGGATGGATGGATTTCTCGCATGTGCCTTAGTGGCACCTCCATTCTGTGATTTACTTGTTTTTCTCTAAGTTTCCTTTATACATGTGGATATACGCATGAGCAGCTGTTTGCATGATCGTGTTGGTTTGTCATCCTCTGTTGCAGGCTGTGGTCCATGCGATCGCAGGAGTTTTCAAGATATCTCTGGAAAAAGCAGAAGACAAGTACCTAAAGGGACCTTCTCTGAGTGAAAGGTTAGACTTTGTGTGTCCTGCTGTATGTGTGAGAATTTCTACGCAAAGCTACTTGATTTCACTTAACGTATTTCAGTTAACATAAGTTCACTCAGTTAACTTGATTTCGATAAACATAAATGCATTTTCTAATTCATTAGGTGAGAGGTGTTAATGAGATGTAAATATTCTATCTGCTCTTCTTTCAGAGAAAGAGAAGCTTTTGACAGGGACATAGAAGAGCAGATGACAACGCAGTCAGTCACTCAGTGCCCTGCGTGATGAGGATGGAGAGGAAAGGACTGACAACGCAGTCAGTCACTCAGTGCCCTGCGTGACGAGGATGGAGAGGAAAGGACTGCTTTCGGTTTTTGCGGTTATTCAGTGGGACTTCTCAGAATATCGCTAAATAGGACCCATAATATCGCTTTCTTTTGGACCGCTCAACAATAAATTTATTCTGTGTAATAATTTTTGTTTTGATACAGGATTTGCTGTAAGAATTTGTTTCTCTTCAAATTATGAGACAAGCTGATTTATTTTGAATGTGTAAAAAGCTTTTGGTTTGAAGCATAGTCATTAACCACAAGTCATAAGCTATCATTGTTGTGGGGTGTGTGTGTGTATATATATGTGTGTATGTGTATGTGTTTGTGTGTTCGCAAGGCTTATTATGCATTTTACACATTCTTTAACCAGTTCATATGGTTTGATTATTACTGGTAAATTATGAGTAAACTGTCTCCCATGAGATATGTGTGAGGACCCAGAGACGCTCAGTTGCACAGTTCTGTGCTTTCAATCTACACAAAGCACTTAATGTGTACTATAGGCCAACGTTGCGTTCAGTGCTTGGTTTTAAAGCCAGCGACTAAACTAGGCACACTGGAAAGGACATTATTAAAAGCCTGATTTGTAAAGCTGCTGAATCAGCTGTGAATGTCTGGACTTTAGTTCCTCCCGTTGTATGTTTGAGAACATAGCATTGAGCTATGTGCCAATTTACCTTCAGTTTAATAAGGTAAACATGGATTCATTTCAGCCATCCACAGGGCATTGTTTTTCCTGTTTTTCTGCAGGTTTTGCCCATTTACAGACATATTTAACATATCAGTCGTGAAGGTAATCATGTTACTGAATCCTGAAAGAATCAAGTAATTTGTTTTATTTTTTATTAATTCTGTGTATATGACTCCAAGAGTCTGTAAGCAGTGTGACGGTGGATGATTAAATGTTTTTAAGTTGGCATTTAAGAACTTATCAAGTGCCTGATTTTACTAATTGCCTTTACTTGTCTCCTGGTTATCTATAATTTGCCATTGAAAAACCATGCATGTATATAAGAAACAATAAAATATTCTTACACTATAAGTTTTAAAAGATTTTTTTGTCATTGAAATTGAACCACTTCTAATGAAGGTAACATTTAATTGCCTATTTGATGCTTTAATGGAAAGTCATTTGTCATTCAGCCAAATTATACAGCTGAATTATTCGCTGACAGAACCTTGCTCTAGGGGCTGCAGCCCAGCCTTCAGGATGCAGGACTGTGGCTGACCCAGGCAGCTGCATGCTGCGTAAGGCCTGTTCTATTAATCACTGCTGCCATCAATCATGGCAGAATGGATTAACTGTGGGGGCAGAATGTCTATAGGCACCCCCTTGAGAAAACAAGCCCTAAAGTAACTGCACAACATATCTGTGAATATCTTCATCGGGGTAACTGCTTAAAAATACTGTAATTAATTTTAATCTTTGAATCATTGTGACAAGTGTAGATCCACTCATCCCAATGTGCAAATTAGCTGTACTACATTAACAAAGGGCTTATTTTAAGATACACTTTACAGAGCTATAGCTTCCAAGTTATATACAGAGTTGTTTTTGAGAATAAATGAGGTTCAGTAATGCACTGAAGTAAATCAAGTAGAGTTTATGTCCATGGGCCATATTTATATTCTGTTGAGAGTTAAATGTGCACTGCATTAGCTGGCCTATTGAAGAACGCACTGCCAGAACTATCCAAAAGATGAAGTGACCACTAGACAGGGTGTGCATTATGTTATGTGTACAGTAGGCAAAAAAGTTCACCCTTACAAAATCCCCGCTTCCTCTCCGTAGGTGCAAATAATTATAGTTACTAAGACTTTTGTTTGTGATAGCTAATTTCAACATAAAGTAAGGTTATATCACCCATTTCTTTAGGTATCGGCGTGCCATTTTATGGAAAAATATTCCTGTTTCAATAGGTAGATTCTTTTCGAGAAATGAAAATGTCAATCAAACATGAGGTAGGTTTCTGTCAGCCAGACAGACAGAAGCAGTTATTTTCTGAACCCTAACCAGTGCATCATTTTATTTTATGCAATTTGCATCATATCTTATTAGCTAATATATGAATGTACTTTTTCTTTTGTATCAGTTATTACACACAGCGCATGCTACCGCACTGGATGTTCAAAGGGGACTTGGTGACCCAGAACGCATCGCGGCAGTCGGGCTGGTGACGACACCGCGCGCGTCTTCCCTGCTCGAAGTCGAAGCCAACATGGCGGCGCCCATGGAGGTCGTGGTTTGTGCCGATTCTGCCGGCCAGCTGTGGAACTGTGCGGTGTTTGAGTTGCACTCTGGCACCAACCTTTTGTCTTATAGGGGTGGTAACTCCTCGCCCCGGTCCTTGACCCTCCTCAACGGTGAATTTATTCTGGGATCCCAGCTTGGCAAGAATATTATTAACGTGTGGGAGATACAAAGAAAGGTACTTAACTCTGTATACCTTGAACGGGGAACTACGTGCATGGAGTATATCGTCTCTTCTCATTAATGCAGTTTCCCCACCAGAAATTAAAATGCATAACCTGATACTCGCTAAAATATCTAGGAATGGAGCTAGCTCAATAACACGTGTTTCTTTTTTCTCCGTTTTTTATTGAACCAAATTAATGTGCTTTCAGCCCGTTGTTTGCTTTTTTCTTGTTGTCCGTAATTCATTTTAATTGAGAAATGTCTGTGAAATAACGGCATATTTTGTGTTGTCCAGGAAATATTTTTGTTTCTTTCGGTCATGCTTTACATATGAAAAGGACAGGCTTCGGCTATATTTTGAATGTAAATTTTCAAATTGCAACTCTGGCACAGTGATCTTGTTGGTCTTCGGTGCAGACAATTTCACACATTTCATAGCTAGTCCAGTTAAAAACTGAGATGTACAGTACTTTGTGAAAGTCTTAAGCAGTCACAGAAAATTATGTTTAAATGATTATGTTGGTGTAAAACTATGACATTATGCCTGTCACAGTGTGTCAGCTTAGTATTTGCAGCAACCGTCCTATACAATCTATTTTTTGACTCGACCACTACCCAACCTTGTTTGGCTAATCAATTCCCTACTGAGTTATTTAATAAATCATGCTTATTAATTAATTGAGCTGGCAGAGAAATTTAACAAACACATAGAATGCCTGAGGTGCCCCTAAGGTTATCTAGCCACCCAAGTTATCAGGCACTTTGTGGAGAACATAAGAAATTCTTGTTCATTTTTATTGTGGTAATGTTAATTTGCATATGCTATAATATAAAATTGTTTATTTCTGAGCAAATATGCACATACTACCAAAATAAATAGCTATAAACATTTTCTTGAACTACCCTATGACTATTGCAGAGTACTGTATTTTACACTGCTTTTACACATTTAATGTATAGTCTTAGCAAGCATGTCTATGTGCTAAACCAGGGGTGGCCAATCTTATCCACAAAGGGCCGGTGTGTATGCGGGTTTTCGCTGCAACTCCCTAATTAGATTACTAATTAGAGGACTGATTGGCTGAAGAATCCTCACACCTGGGTTTGAACAGCTGACCTACAGCTTATCCCAAAAACCTGCACACACAGCGGCCCTTTGAGGATAAGATTGCCCCCCCCCCCCGATCTAAATCATGCTTTAGATGTTATATAACTCTTATAAATATTTTATGTATAGCTTACAACTAATAATTTCTTTCTTCTGAAGGTGTTGCTGTATAAACTGTAAAAGCTTTCTATATGTTTCACAGGACCAACTACAGCAAAAAATTGTGTGTCCTGGCATTGTGACCTGCCTGACTGCTTCACCCAATGGCCTGTACCTGTTGGCGGGGATTGCTGAAGCCATTTACGTGTGGGAGGTAGGCTCAAGGAAAAATGCCTGTTTCATCTGTATCAGAAACAGAACATTATAGTGATGCATACCATTGCCAGGGGTGAACTAACTTCTCTGGGGTCTCTAGGCTGACATGGGTAGGGGTTCCCCATGTGGGCCATTTAAGCTATTTTAAGGAGCCAAAAGAGAAACGAGAGGGAATTAAAAACGATGGAACCCCGGATATATGCTAATCAAAGCGCAGAGTGCCAGTGATAGAACTTACTGATCAGGGTGGGGGAGGGAATGCTGTCGGTAAACTTCATTGATCGGGGGGAGGGGGGTATCGCGCCGGCGATATTTAAGACATTTAGTGGTTCCCTCTTTTACTAAGGTTAGCCTTTTAATTTTGTTGTCGCCACATCTGCTCACAGTTTGTGTATCACTCTAGTGGGACAGTATCAAAGACACAGAGACATGGGAGATGTAATGTTAGGTTTGTACCTCCGAGGTTTGTGCTTCTTCGCCGGTTCTCTTGGCTGTGAAACACCAGTAGCCTCCAGTGTTAAAGGCGAAGTCTCAAAGTGGAATAGTCCATTACAGCTGGGATGGGGGGCAACTTCATCTACCTTGAAAACCGTCGCTAAAAATGCAAATAAGTCATGTTGCTATCATTTAAATGATCATATTATGTTCTACCCTTAAATGTAACTTCTCAATAGTTTTAATGGTGCCCCTAGTTTTTGGGGGCGCAGGTGGTTGCCTATCATACTTAATGGGAAAGTCTGACTGTGGCGTCCGTCCGTCCGTCCGTCCGTCCGTCCGTCCGTCCATCCATACACCTTCAAACCATTACTGGGTCACGGGGGGGTGGAGATTGTCCCAGGCAGCATAGGTCACAAGGCACCCTGCATTAGAGGCATATTGTGCCAGAAAATTACTCATTTTTAATTTATCTGACAATATCAATTCTTCTGTAAATGCAAGAGTGCTTCTGATTGGCTTCCTAAAATGAATGAATAAATTACGGCTTGTCTGTTTGTCCTCAGGCGTCACCTGTAATGTTCAGTGGGTCATGGCGCCAGTCCTGCATTGTTCTGTGCGCTTTTCAGGTTTCCACGGGCAACTTGCTGGCCATCCTGAACCGGCATTACCAGGACTTGACCTGCCTCCGCTTCACCGATGACAGCAGCCACTTTATCTCTGGGGGCAAAGACAACCTGGCTCTGGTGTGGAGCATCACAAAGTAAGCAAGCTGTGTAGCAGCATCACTTTGTGTTGTTGTACTTCATAAAGAAGCCACCTAATTCAAATAATCAGTGGCCCTGTCTGTATCTCTTGCCTCACACCTCCTTGTTCCCTGACCAGCATAAGCATTTGCTGGATGGATGGATTTATAATGTATAGTGTTAGAAGGTGTCATGGCGCCTCAGTGACCTCAGAAACAATCTGCCTCCAGTCACAAACCAGCGACACATTAGGTCCCATGGATCTGAGCTGCTAGATGCAGTCCAGGGGTCTGTACTACGAAGTGGGGTTACTGGCTGATCGGGGTAACTTGTCGGATTTAAGGTAGTCTGGGCAAAATGTAAGTGAACGAATACGAAGTCCATTTAAACTGTGGTACCTTAAATCCAACAAGTTACCCCGATAAGCCAGTAACCTCGCTTCGTAGGACAGGTCACTGGTCTTGTGTTTTCAGAAACCTCAGAAATGCTTAAGGATCCAGGCGATCCTTCATAATTCATGTTAATGAGACAGTAGATGGTCTCTGCAGTTCTAGGCTTGCTCAGTGCGCTGGCCTGCAGCCTCATGTCTTCAAGGTTGTGGGTTCGATTCCTGCACTTGGGTCTGTCTGTTTCAATGTTGTGTCGTGTTAAAATGGATGTCCTTCCATAGTTAAGTGACACGCGGTTAGGAGAATTGATATAACTAAATTGTCTGTAGTGTGTGATTTGCATGGATAAGTGTGACCTGTGATGGACTGTCATCTGTCACTGGACTGTCACTGTAAATGAAAGTTTGGTGGCTGAAAATTGAAAGTTAATGAAAATTGGTGGATGAATTTGAAGTTAAATTAGGAACCTTTTAGATTGCTTTGTGGTTGCTTTTGGTTTGAGTTTTTGGTCCTTGCATTGACAGATTTACATAACAATTTATGTTCAATTATAAACTTCACACAGTTAATTGCTGTTTGTACAGAATGTTAATGTATTTTAATTATGTTTTGCCAAAACTGGCAAGGCGCCCCTTTCTCATCTTGCCAGTAGGTGGCAGTGTTACTTAGTGTTTCGGGAGTAAAGCAAAGAGCAAATGCTTTGGAGTGGAGTGTCAATTTTCAGCTATGGTAAACGCGAGGATTTTCAGGGGCTGCTGATGCTTTATCTCTGTCCACACCGACGCGCCTGTACCTGGATCTCACCCGCCTGTGCTCCGGGACAGACAGGATGGGCCTGCAAGCCGCTCTTCAGACAGCCTGGAGCCCTTTCTCTCGCCTGCAGGATGCTGCACAGAGTGTGTCACTGCCATGGCTCGTCCATTTTTCATTTATTTTCTTTGGCAGTGCTGTAGTGCCGCTAAAGCCTGCCAGGATGTCGGAGCAGCTTGTCTGCTCTGCTAGAAATGACATTGAGGTGTTTTTTTTTTGTTTTTTTTGCAAAGGCAGAAAGGCTTTTTTGTCATTTGTGGAAGCTTTAGATGTTGCACTGGCTCCAATAGAAATGCTGGTGTAGTGTGACTGTGTGCATTCATTTTCCATAACACCTATGCGAGTGCAGGGTGCAGGGCCGTGCTCCCGAGTCACTGGCGGGATGTTGGTATTCCAGCACCTGCCTACCTTAGTGCAGAGCAGTTAATCTTTACCTGCTATCATGGTTTAATAGATTGTATAGGTCAGTGAACTGGATGTCGTTATGTCACTGGTTGTTATGCTGTACACGGCGCTAGAACACTGGGGCGGAGCAAATCGCCCCCAGCAATAATGTGAGCCTTTTCAGGAAAGTCTTAATGGTGCAAAATTAATGTGGGTGGAAACTGAAATGGCAACATCATGTTTCTTTGGAAAGGAGTGAAAGACGTTTCATTAAAAGATGGATGAAGTTGGGTGTGAAACTTCAGTTAGCTGGTTGACGTCTTCTGTTACATGGTCTTTGTGACCAAATCACACACAGTATGTAAGGACAGCGAAGTCTGTGCTGTGTACTGCTGGTGTGGTTCTCCCTGCATCCGCACCCTTCCTGCATCGTGGGTTTGTTCTGTTACATGGTCTTTGTGACCAAATCACACACAGTATGTAAGGACAGCGAAGTCTGTGCTGTGTACTGCTGGTGTGGTTCTCCCTGTATCTGCATCCTTCCTGAGTGTGTGCCATACTCACTCTTCATTTGTGTTGTGTGTATGTGTGTGTTCTGTCTGATGTATTGTTTCCTGTCCAGAGTGCTCTGTGCTTCCAAGGTTAAATGTTTGTGGGAAATGGATGAAAAGTCTTTAAAATGTATACTCACAATAATAGTTTTCTTGGGACTTTTTAATTTGTGGAGGACAGGTATTTAGTTTCCTGCAAAACAAGCTTTTATTGAAATATTAATAATACATAATACTGTAAGATTTGCCCTGGGCATGATGGAAGAAGCGTGTGAGTTTGGTGTGGAATAGCTGGCTCCTTGCAGACGGGTGTCTAGTGCCAGGCTTTAGGGGGATTGGGCTGGGAGAGGATCAAAACAGCGCTTATAGAAAGGATAAAAAATGAAAGGAGCCATTTCGCTGGGTGAGACGAGGAGGTGAGAAGATCCCCTAAGCTCCTCCATGTGCTGGGTGGGGAGGAAGGAGACCTGGGCCGGGCCGGGCCGGAGACCCATCAGGACTCTCTGATTTATGGGGTCGGCGAGGGACAGCGCTGGCCCCCTGACTTGCTCTTGCTGTGCACCCCCCTCTTGCCTGTGTGTGGCTGGATGTTACCAACACTTGGTCCATTAGCTATCTGAGAGGGTGGTCATTCTCACATCCCCGTGTAATGTCATTTGCTGGAGGACGTAATCACTTCTCGTCCTCCGTCACAGACCGTGGGATTTTAGCTTAACAGGCACCTTCTCCTCCGTTTCCTGGATGTGTATCTCCACAGGACTTGAACCGTGAGCCGAGCTCTTTATCTCCAGCTTCTTGCTGTGTTTTTGGTCCACAGATGAACCCTTCCTGCAGGGCTTTCCCTTGTCTGAAAGTGCTAAAAGATTCAAAGTAAACCAAAGGTTCGGATCTCAAAACCAAAAGCGCGATCAATCCGGAGGGTCAAGCAGACCTCTTGGTCTGTGGAGAGCTTAATGCATTCAGCTCCTGAAGGCTGGGGGATGGCCGGGTTCGAGCAGTCGGATTCACTGCTGGCGTCCTGTGATGTGTGCCGGGTTCAAGCAGTCGGACTCACTGCTGGCGTCCTGTGATGTGTGCCGGGTTCGAGCAGTCGGACTCACTGCTTACGTCCTGTGATGTGTGCCGGGTTCGAGCGGTCGGACTCACTGCTGATGTCCTGTGATGTGTGCCGGGTTCGAGCAGTCGGACTCACTGCTGGCGTCCTGTGATGTGTGCCGAAGGACTCAGACATCGTTAGACTGCTTCCCAGTTAACCAATTATCGTTTGAAGTTCGTAGCCTGGGTACATGTGCAGGCTCCAAGTCAAGTGCCCCTTTAGCCTGATGCATATTTAAGTGGCTTACAGTGCGCATTTTCAGTATCGTGCCTTAAAGCAATTTTCTGGGATGTTTGGAATGATGTATTGCCTTCAGGTAATGAAGTAAAATGATCCTTCATGTGACCTTCAGCAAATCATTTTTGCCCGCCAGTGTTTCCGAGCATCCTGAATCTGCAGAACCTGAATCTGTAGAACCTGAATCTGCAGAACCTGAAACCTTTCTAAGACCCATCATGCAGCTGCATCACCTCTGAATCCATGTCACTGTTTGTCTGGTGACCTTGAAGTGGAGAAAGCAGTGCATCCCTCTAGAATCAGGTACTGAATGAGGACAACAGCTACACGGGGTAGCCTTTGATTTACCGTGTCCTTTACACCAATTACCAGAGAGAAGTGTTTTCGGTAACGTGAAGGCAAATTTCAGCCAGATGAAAAGCAGAATTCTTTGACTGTAGGTACTAGCCATTTATTCGTATTAATCCTGCTGGGTGGCCATGCAGAAATGTAGATGATACAGCCCAGTGGATGATGCATTTTAATGTGGACGTTTCCTAACCTCTGTCAAGGTAGAGAGTGGGGGGGCTTTTCACTGCTTTGTGGCTTAATGCTCTCAGATAACGGACACTTTGATTTTTGCAAGCGCTCTTTGTTTGACAATGAAAGAATAATTTAGGTCTGTAGGGATGGTGCCTTGCTGTTTTTTTTTGAGAGCCTGTTGTTTACTTGCGCCCAATATTGAATGCTAAGCAGTTGCATGTTTTATTCAGTGGAATCTGAAGATTTTTAAGGTAATCGAGATTTAAGCCTTTGGAAAAACAAAAAAATCGATTAGTGACGCCCCCTTAAAGCTGGGAGGCTACAGCTTAGCAGCTTGAGTGTGAAGCGTTTTATTGCTTGAAGCGAGCGGTGCTTTGCTGGGGTTCTGCCTCTCAGACGGAGCAGAGGGGTGGGGCGGTGGGCTCTGGAGAGCTCTGGGAAGGTCAGCCCCCTCGCTCATTAGTGGAATTCCCCCTTGTGGCGCGTGATGGTGTCGGCTGGGCTGCAGTTAGCTCCCCTCTGAGACGCTGAGACCCGCGGCACGCGTGGTGTGACTGACGGAATGAGGCCAGGTGTTTCCCAGATCCGCTTATCACCAGCGTGAAGAACAGAAAAGCGACCCGCCCATCCCATCTGCCTTATCTTTCCAATCCCCCCCCACCCCTCTCCCGACTTCCTCTGAACTCGCACTTTGTCTTTCTGCACACGTCTTCGCTCTTAAGAGCTGTAACGAGGGTCCTAAGCCTGTGCATTTTGGTCAGTTTAAAAACACGATCCTGCTACGCTGTTCAGTTCCCAGAGCCGTCCATCACCGCAGCTGTCGTGTCCTAGGCAGTACGAGATGAACCTTCATTCTTATGCAGCTCCTCCCCTGTCTGCCACATTCCTCATTTAATGAAATGAGTAGATCATTCAGCTGGTAGCTCACGGTCCTGAGGAGAGCCATGAACACACCTAGTAGCTGATCTTGTTCTCACTTGTGTTCATTGTTCCTTCATGTCCTGTTGTGTGATGAAGATAGCGAGGTATCTGAGATTGAAAAAAGCCGTCGATTGTAACCAACCAGTACTCATCAACCAATGTAAGAAATGTATTCTTATTGGCTCAGATGTCACTTGCTGACTTTGCTATTTGCTAATGACCTCATCCCTGGTTCCGTCCAGGGCGCCTGCAGCTCTAACACTGCGGACGCACTGGATGCACTGCATACCCTTTGCGTTTACTCTTTTACTAACCTTACACGTTATTTTTATTTTTAACCTCATGTCTGCAACAGAAAGGTAAACCTACTGAGATTAAATCCCACTGCCCCCCTGGCTACAGCTGGATACTTCTCTATAAACCATTATAATTAATGATAACAGGGTAAGCTACATGTGAGGTAGATAGAGTTTTATTAGATTACATATGTTCATATCTGGAGGAAAAAACAGGACATAGGATCTTGCTGTAGTCTTTGTGAGCTGTCTCTCTGCCTGGTTGTTCTGTACATCTGACCAGCATCCCTGATGAACATGGAGGGAGCATTTTTACGGCTCCCTTGTCAAGGAGAAAGTGTGTGTGAGGTGATTCCTGGCCAAGATGAAAGTTTTGAGCCTCTCATGGAATTCTGGACTGTTTTATTCTTTGCTTTTTTCATCTGTTAATTTCCAGCAATTTAATGGTACTTCGAGGAATGGATGTATGTAATAGAATGAAAATAAGCACCAATCAGGACGTGTGTCCGGATAAATTAGCCACGGAGTCCATTAGATCAGTCAGTACAATTACGTCTTTAGGTAATTGGCCACCAAAGTAACAAGCCAAAGAGCTGGTGACCAGAACACAGTACATTTGTCCCTCTGCTGGATATCGCCAGCGGGCAATTTAGTTTTATGGCAGTTTTTTTTTTCTTCAAATTTTTTGTCAATATGGAAATTGAGACCTGATCTCTGGCCATGGCACTGAGCTGGAAAGGTAAGTCCACATTTTTGGTCCCTCCCAGCTTCTTGGCCTCGAGAACCAAATGACCCAAAGTGAACTGAAGACGACGGCTCAGTGCTGGCACTTCCAGAGCTCCTCCTTGTCACTGCACACGTTTGAGTTCCTGTGCTTTACGTCTCTCCTTTTAGAAACTCTGAAAATGTAGCTTTTTAACATTCCTCCATCTGTTTTAGTGCTGATGGTATCAAACTAGAATTAACCTGAGTCACCATTTGAAGCTGCAATTAATGAAAGGCGCTATTGGGACATAATCCTTGTTAAATAGCCTTAATTGATGTGAAACCTCCATCTGGTTTTGATTTGGCTTTTTATCTTAGAAACTTAGAGGATGATTCCCATGGTCCTTGGAACTGCATCCCTATGATTCGCTCAGTTGTCTCTGTCTGTCTGTCTGTCTGTGTCTCTTTGTCTGTCTCTGTCTGTGTCTGTCCGTCCACTATAAAACCAAACTGATGTCATATTTCACATTTGTATTATATTAACCATCTGTTTTTGTACCTGATGTAGAAGAATGACTTGCCAGCACTGTGTTCCCTTTTCCCGCAAGTCGCCTGAAAACAAATTTGCCTTTAGGTGGTATGATGAATAGCTCACAGTTTATAAAATATATCTGACTTTTACCTCTTTACTGAAGGAACAGTGCATTATTTAACTGGGTCCTCTGGGACTCACAGGCAGTCCACGTTTTTGCTCCTTCCCAGCTCCATGCACACCTGAACCAGGTGTTTGTTGTTCTCGATTGCTTGGTTTATTCTTGGTTGTTTGTTGTAGCCCGTGGTACATTGCTGGGGCTGTGTGGGGACGTGCTGCAGTTAGTAGATGGTGCCCCAGAGGGTTGCCAGGTGTGCGTGCATGCATGCTGGAGCGTGCTGGCCTGTCTGTGAGCCCCCATGACCTTGTCTTTCAGTTTGCGTGCGTGAGTGTGTTGGCCTGTCTGTGAGCCTCCATGACCTTGTCTTGCAGTGTGCGTGCGTGAGTGTGTTGGCCTGTCTGTGAGCCTCCATGACCTTGTCTTGCAGTGTGCTGCAGCCAGACCTCTCAGCCAGCCCCGAGCCCCGGCACGTCTGGGCCAGCCACTCCCTCCCCATCACGGACATCCACTGTGGCCTGATGGGCCCCCAGGCCAGAGTGGCCACCGCCTCCCTGGACCAGACCGTTAAGGTGGGTATGCTGCCGCCACACCTGGCGCTGTACCATTCCAGAGTGCGTCTCGCGCGCTAATGAACGTGACGGGGGGGGGCATGCTCCGCCGCTCGTTAATATTTTGATGGCGTGTCAGACGGTGAGCTACCCCGGAGTGCATCTAATTAAATCTGCCGAAAAAGGCTCGATCTTCGGAAATTTTCAATTACACCCGGCTTAACTATGCTCTCTGTAATTCTTTGCACTCGCCAAGAGGTCTTAATATTTATGGGACTACAAATCATAGGGAACTACTGATTTTGTAACCTTTTACGTTTTTATGGTATGTTAGTCCGAACATGAGCATGTCTTCCGGGTGGCTGTAGATGTTCTGGCCGACCCGGAGCCCGCAGCCGAGCCGCGGGGACCCCGTTAGAACACGCCAACTCGCTCCGGGGTGTCTGCACGCTTCTCTCTGCCGGCCCGTATTTCATCATGATGTCATTTTTAATTTTGCGGTTCTTTTGGAAAGATGCCTTTTACTGCATTTCTTATCGGCAGATAAACCAAAATGCTTCCCTTGTCATAGATGCCAAATTCAAGATCTTCTCTTCTGGTCTGAGGACTTCTTAAATAACCACTTTTTACAGGGTGACTGTGCGCATTTCCTGCCGTCTGTGACAAAGGGTTGTGGTGACATTTGAGTCAGGCCAGAGGTCATCGCAGGGGCCGATTAATCAGTGAGGCGAGATCCCTGCAGGTGCTTTACATCCTTCAATATAATGAGGACGGTGTGCGACTTGGCAGGTTAGGGTGCTGTGCCTGTGACCAGAAGGTTACCGGTTCGAATCCCTTGGGCACCAGAGTGATCTCCCAGTTTGGCCCTGTGGTCATTTCCCCTGTTTTTCCTGCTCCATCTTCCAATACCTTTCAGGTTTTTTTTAATTTGCTTTAGTCAGAGAACAGATGTCAGGCTTGCTGTGTGTTCAGAGCCTTTCGATACCTGAGGCCCAGTTTGCTGACTGCATAGTCTGGCTGGCTTCTTGGAGCAGGCGGTTTCTGGCTCTGGCTTCATAAAGGGATGGGGGCCAGCTTCCGGGGGCGGGGGGGCTTCTTAAGAATTCAGCCCCCTGCCTGCCTCAGGAGCTTTTCAGGTGAGCAGGCAGTAACTAAGTGACGTTATGCACCGGGCCCCCGGTGTGATGTGCTTATACGAGGGGCCCCAGGCAGTAACTCGGTGACGTTATGTACNCCGGGCCCCCGGTGTGATGTGCTTATACGAGGGGCCCCAGGCAGTAACTCGGTGACGTTATGTACTGGGCCCCCGGTGTGATGTGCTTATACGAGCGGCCCCAGGCAGTAACTCGGTGACGTTATGTACCGGGCCCCCGGTGTGATGTGCAGTGTTGAGACGCGTCATAATGGGAGATTATATATCAGGGTTATTTAAATCACAGTCCTCGAGGTCTGAGCACTACTGGTTTTCCAGCCTTCCTTTACCTGTCAGTCAGGTGTGAAGCCTCTGACCAATCAGAATCAGTAATTAAACTAACTACCTGGGAAAACTGAAAACAAGGCCTGGATTTGGAATCGAGGTCCAGATTTGAAGAACTCTGTTATATAGCATCGTGTTCCGTTTATAATTTCTGCTGAAAAATCCCATTAACCTTCATAAACTGTTTATTAATTAGTTTCAGTATAAAACAATTATGAGATATGAGAGGTTAAAGACGTCCTATTGAGTTGGTAACGACCTTGTAAAAAATACATCTATAATTAGTCTTAATCATTGCATCAGTACTTAAGACAAATTGCACGTATTTATGTTTGTATGCATAGGGCTGTGGCCACCCCCCCCCTTTCAGGGCTTGGTGTTCAAATCCCTCCCCCAGTCTGTCTTCACCCTGTGGAACATCATGCAGGCTGGAAACCTGGTAGCTTTAAATTGCCCTGTGTGTGTGTGTGTGTGTGTCTGTGTCTGTGTCTGTGTCTGTGTCTGTGTCTGTGTCTGTGTCTGTCTGTCTGTCTGTCTGTCTGTCTGTCTGTCTGTCTGTCTGTCTGTGTGTTCGTCTGTCTGTGTGTGTGTGTGTTTGTTTGTTTGTATATCTGTGTTTGTCTATCTGGGGCAGTGGGTGAGGTACCCTATGCAAGGTACTGTCCCCAAGCCCTGCTCCCCGGGTGCTGAATTAGCTGCCCCCTGCTATGTCACATATGGATTAAACGCAGAGGACACATTTCGTTGTTGTGCACTGTGTGCTGTGGTGTGTCAACAGTGATCACTGATCACCAAATTCTAAATTCTATCTGTATGTCTGTCTGTGTGTATGTCTGTATCTGTGTATATCTCTGTCTTTGTGTGTGTGTGTGTGTGTGTGTGTGTCTTTCTGTGTATCTGCGTGTGTTTGTGTGTGTATCTCTGTGTGTCTTTCTGTGTGTGTTTGTGTATCTGCGTGTGTGTGTGTGTGTATCTCTGTGTGTGTTTTTCTGTGTGTTTGTGTATCTGCGTGTGTGTGTGTATATTTGTATGTGTGTGTT